GAGGCCAGGAGTTCAAAGTCAACTTGGACAACAGGACGAGATGCTGTCTCATTAAAAAAAATAATAATAATAAATAAGGTCAGGTGAGGTGGCTCCTAAAGTGCTGGGATTACTGGCGTGAGCCTCCGCGCCCGGCCCTACTCAGCTTTTAAAACCGGAATCAAGGGTCAGAACTTTTTGGTAAACCACAATACTGTTTAGGTTATCAAATTCAATGCCTTCTTCCTCTGAAGTCCTGCAAATCTCCAGTAAAGCACCACAAACTGACGAATATTCCAGCTATTTCTCTCTCCAGTCCGCTAGCTCCATTTCCCAATAATATCCATCTTCTCGAGCTTCCTCAGCTCCTTCACCTTCATGAGGCCTGGAAAGCACCCGGCTCCAGGAATGTGAGTCGGAGGCTCAGAGCGACCCTAAGTGCCAAAAGCCGACGTTCAGACACTGCGGAAAACAAACCACAAAAGATCTAAGGCTCAGGGATGAAGGTAGGTAGCCGCGGGCCCGCAGGAGGTGCATGCCGGGAGATGCAGTCCCGAGCCGACGCGTTACCTCTTGGGAGTTGTAGTCTTTGATCTGGTAAACATAAAACGGTTTCTGTAGACACCTGAGAGAAAAAAATAAAAAAAGTAAAAAGATAAAACGGCAACTCGGATAAGTCTTCCTCCCCGACCCCCTCAACCCACGCCCCACCCGCGAGGGACTGTGGTAGGAGTAGGGGCGTTGCTGTGGTTGGCCTCGAACTCCCAGGCTCAGGTGGTTCTCTCGCCTCTACGTCCCGAGTAGCTGGGACTACAGGCGTGAGTCACTGCGTCCGGCATAACGTTTGAATTAGTCCTCGTGCAAAAAGGGAAGAGGGCGGTCCGTAACCTCGCGTAAGTTCGAGCTCTCGCGATCCCGTCTTGCCCTGGGGCGCAGGGCTGAAGCGGTGAGAAGGCGGATCCAGGAGGCGGGGAGACGTTACGCCGACGCGGGCGTGACCCCCGGCCGAGAAGCTTTGGCGGGAATTCTGAAAGCTGCTGGCAGAGGGCAGACAGCAGCCAGAGACCGATCCCTAACGAGAGCGCAGCGCTTGCCGAGGCGCGCAGCTGGGAGCTGAAACTCGCCTGGGTTGTGCGCAGAAGGCTGCGGCAAGCGAGTAGAGAAGTGGGGCGCAACCTAGGGGCGTTGGGGTCCGCGCGGGTCGCGCGCGTGCTAGGCCCACAGGCTGAAGTTGGAGCGAGCAGCGCTGCGGGCCGAGGTGAGTGTGAGGCGCAGGCCGGGGCCTCCACAGCCGCGGCTCGTGCTCGTCCACCTGGGTGCGAGCCGGCTCGTTACTCAGCGGCGGCTGGTGGGGCCTTCGCGCGCAGTGTGAAACCTGGACGTGGCAGGGCGTGTCGGCGCCCGACCGACCCTCAGCTGCTGGGGCGAAAACACAGTGGACCCCAGGCTTTAGAGCTAGGGGAGAAACAGTAGAAACGTCATTGCCAACACCCATTTTATGGGCTTGGTCGAGGAGTCCGAGAGCAGAGCCGTGTAGCCACAGCTGTTTGATATCATCGCCAGGGCTTCCGGATTCCTGGTCTTTCCATTACAGCACGGTATAATGGAAAGTTGGAGGTTGCTTAGAAAGTACTCAACCTCCAATTGCCAAAAAAAAAAAAAATGTCATTTGATGCAGAAAACCATTTACGTGACGCCTAGAGAATGTTCTCAAGTGAGGTTTGGGTGTTTTGTTTTGTTTTGTTTTTGTTTGTGTTTTTTTGAGATGATGTCACCCTCTGTCGTCCAGGCTGGAGTGCAGTGGCCCGAGCACGGCCCACTGCAACCTCCGCCTCCTGGGTTCAAGCGCTTCTCCTGCCTCAGCCTCCCAAGTAGCTGGAATTACAGGCGCGCGCCACCACGCCCGGCTAATTTTTTGTATTTTTTGTAGAGACGGGGGTTCTATTGACCATGTTGGTCAAGTTGGTCTCGAACTCCTGACCTCAGGTTATCCATCCGCCTCGGCCTCCCAAAGTGCTGGGATTACATTGTGAGGCACTGCATACTGGTTTCTAATGCGATTATGTCCCTTGTTTTTGAATTTTATATACAAATATATCAGGAGTGTTATTGTTTCACATGGTTGCCAATACGATATTTTTCAGTCTTATTAAATTTTAACTCTTTTGCTGGGTACACAGTAATGTCTCATTATGATTTTGATTTTCCTGATTACTGATTAGGTTGGGCATTTCTTCATGTGTTTTTGGCCATTTGGATATCTTCTGTGATGTGCTTGTTAAAATCTCTTGCCTCATTTTCTGTTGAATTGTCTTTTACTGATTTGAAGTTCTTTATATTCTGGTTATCAGGCCTCAGCGATGTTTGTGCTAAATGTTTTCTCCTCTGCTGCAGTTTGACTTACCATTCTCTTAGTAGTGTCCTTGGATGAATAGAGGTGCTGAATTTGAATGTAGTCAGGCCAGGCGCCATGGCTCATGCCTGTAATCCCAGCAGTTTGGGAGGCTGAGGTGGATGACCAGGTCAGGAATTCAAGACCAAGAACCCCAAAGGTGGAGGTTGCAGTGAGCCGAGATCGAGCCACTGCACTCCAGCCTGGGCAACAGAGCCAGACTCTGTCTCAAAATAAATAAATAAATAAATAAAATAAAAAATAAATGTAGTTCAGTTTTCAGCCTTTCCTCTTTGGCTAGTGCATTATATATCCAACTTCATGAAAACTTTTTCTGTCCCAAGGGTGTGAAAATATTATCCTATATTCTGAAAACTTTGATTTATCGCTTACATTTAGATTGGGTGGAATCTATTAATAAATGAGAAATTGATTTTTGTCTGTAGTATGAGAAAGGGACAAAGTTCATTTTTCTCTCTAAGGCTATTCAATCAACCCAGCACTACTTAAATTGAAAAAAACCGTCCCTTCCCCATTATTCTGCAGTACTGTATTCATAAATTATGAAGGGAAATATTTAAATTGCACTGATGTGATTCTTGGCTGGGTGCAGTAGTGGCTCATGCCTGTAATCCCAGCACTTTGGGAGGCTGAGGTGGATGGGTCACCTGAGGTCAGGAGTTCGAGACTAGCCTAGCCAACATAGTGAAACCCCATCTCTATTAAAAATACAAAAATTAGCCAGGTGTGGTGGCGTGCGCCTGTAATCCTAGCTACTTGGGAGGCTGAAGCAGGAGAAGCGCTTGAACCCAGGAGGTGGAGGTTGTGGGTAACAAGTGGGAAATTCAATCTCTAAATAAATAAATGAATAAGTAGCGTTGAAGTAATTCTTTTTCTTTTCTTTCTTTTTTTTCTTTTTTTTTTTTTTTGAGTCAAAGTCTTGCTCTGTTGCCCAGGCTGGAGTGCAGCGGTATGATCTCAGCTTACTGCAGCCTCCACCTCCTGGGCTCAAGCAATTCTCCTGCCTCAGCCTCCCAAGTAGCTGGGATTACAGGCGTGTGCCACCAAGCTCAGCTAATTTTTTTAATTTTTAGAGGAAATCCGCCTACCTCAGCCTCCCAAAATGCTGGGATTACAGGTGTGAGCCACAGTACCAGCCAAGGTGATATTTCAATACATATGTACATTGTATAATGAATGATCAAATCAATTCAGTTCAAACGCTTGTCATTTCTCTTTGTGGTGAGAACATTCAAAATACTCTTTCTGGTTATTTTGAAGTATACATTACATTACTGTGCATTGTAGTCACCCAGCTGTGAATGAAATAGAACACTAGAATTTATTCCTCTTGTCTAACTGAAACTTTGTGCCTGTTGACCAACCTCTCTCCTTCCCACTGCCCCTCTAACGGCTGTGTTCTCAGTCCCTGGTTACCAGTCTTCTATTTGCTCCTTGTATGTGATCAACTTTTTTTTTTTTTTTTAAGACACAGTCTTGCTCTATTGCCAGGCTGGAGTGCAGTGGCATGATCTCAGTTCACTGCAATCTCCTCCTCTCAGGTTCAAGCCATTCTCCTGCCTCAGCCTCCTGAGTAGCTGAGATTACAGGCTCATACCACCACACCCAGCTAATTTTTGTATTTTTAGTAGAGACAGGGTTTCACCATGTTGACTAGGATGGTTTTGATCTCTTGACCTTGTGATTTGCCCACCTCGGCCTCCCAAAGTGCTGGGATTACAGGCATGAGCCGCTGCGCCCGGCCAAGATCAACTTTTTCAGATTGTGCATATGAGTGAGATCATGCAGTATTTGTCTGCAAACACATTTATAATGTATAATGGGGTATACAGAAATAAAAAAGACTTGGCCTCCACTCTCTTTTTTTTTTTTTTTCTTCACTATTTCCAGTAATGGCTATAAGCAAGGCCTCCACACTCGAGGACTATAAAGCAGGAGAACAGGGAGGCATAATAAGAGAATGGCCTTGGCTCTTCCTAAAGTCTTTCCGATACAACTAGCTAGATAGAAGATGAAGAGATAGATGCACCTTATTTCTCTAGTGTTTATACTGATAAGCATTTGTATTTTTCAGTAATGGCAATGCAGATGCAGCTTGAAGCAAATGCAGATACTTCAGTGGAAGAAGAAAGCTTTGGCCCACAACCTGTTTCACGGTTAGAGGTATGTGCTGAGTTGCTAATTTTGGAATTATATACTAGATTCTTCTATCTAGAGGAAAGTATTACAATCTTTACATAAACTATAGGTTTACTACCAAGATCAAGACCCAGATTAGACTTTTCAGAAATGTTGTCAAGAATCTTGTGGAAAAGCTGAAGATTGTTGCTAAATACGTCCAACAGGGCGTCTTCCTTTGTTAACAATTCTCTTCCTACTTTATCATTTTTATTTTTGAGAGCTGGACTGTCAGCAACTAAGGCCTAGGATCCCATGGTGGAATCTCTGTGCTGTTTTTTGGGTTGTTTTTAAGAAATGGGTCTTACTGTGTTGGCCAGGTTGGTCTTGAACTCCTAGCCTCAACCTCCCAAAGTACTAGGATTACAGGCATGAGCCATCATGCCTGGCCAAAGCATCCTGTGCTATTTGCGCTAAGTATGAAAGTGCTGTGCTGACTTTGACAGCACATATACTAGAATTGGAACCAAGCAGAGAAGATTAGCATGGTCCCTGCCCAAGGATGACATGCAAATTTGTGAAACAGTCAGTATTTAAAAAAAAAAAAAAAAAGGAAGTGCTGTTCCGGGAATTACAGTGGCCTGGACCAGTTGTGCAAGGAAGAGAGGGGAGGACCATCTCTTCATTGATCTAGATTATGCTGTGAGCTGTCATTGGCAGGGAGAAGGGTATGGGGTTGTTATAGTATAAGAGACAAGCTCCAATTCAGGATTCTGCACAAGAACATTAAGCACCAGAGCTGAGGCCTTACTCTGTTTCTGCCCATTATATAGAGAATGCCCTGTGAGTGCAGCTGCTTCGGGCTGAGATAGGTAGGGGGGAAAGCAGAGAAAGACTTGATTCTTCTCTTTATGCATATTTCCCATCGCCAACTAATCTTCAAGACTCTAGAAGTTAGGAGTGCAAAAGGCTTATTTAAAAAAAAAAATTCAAGAAGTTCCTTAAATTGATTTGTGATAAACATTTGAAAGTTCAGAGTCATAACTTTTGGTGCCATGAACGTCCTTATACTAACACATGCATATTGCTTATCGCCTAAATATTCATAGCAGACATGGCTTCTGTTGGCAAGCTTTCCTCTTGTAAATTCTCCCAAACCCCAAATACATCCACATTTCCCTACTAACTCATGTTTTCTCACAAATTATGGTTTTGGGTGGCGAATGAAACCAAAGCCGACTTGAATATAGGAAGAAAGAGGTATCTTTGGTGGTTTGTTTTGAGAAGTGGTATAAAAGTCTCTGACAAAAAGTAGTTTTCCTCACTCTTTTTTTATTTTATTTATTTTTATTTTTATTTTTTAAAGATGGCGTTTCTCCATGATGGCCAGGCTGGTCTTGAACTCCTGACCTCAGGTGATCCACCTCAGCCTCCCAAAGTGCTAGGATTACAGGCATGAGCCACCGTGCCCGGCCTCAGTTTTCCTCACTCTTTTTTTTTTTTTTTTTTGAGACGGAGTCTTGCTCTGTCACCAGGCTGGAGTGCAGTGGTGCAATCCCCGCTCACTGCAACCTCCGCCTCCTGGGTTCAAGTGATTCGTCTGCCTCAGCCTCCCGAGTAGCTGGGACCACAGGCGTGTGCCACCACGCTCGGCTAATTTTTGTATTTTTAGTAGAGACGGGGTTTCACCGTGTTGGCCAGGATGGTCTTGATCTCTTGACCTCGTGATCCGCCCACCTAGGCCTCCCAAAGTGCTGGGATTACAGGCGTGAGCCACCGCGCCCAGCCAAGAATTCTTTTTAATATACATGGCATAGTGCTAGTTTAAAATTACTGATTTTGATGATGAAAAAGTTGTTACTTTGTTATTTAGTACCTCATACATAGGGCTCATTTTTCAGCTTTTGCATATAATACAGTAGGCTCCCTATATCCCTGGATTCTGCATCAGGAAATTGAACAAACTACATATGAAAAATTCAATCAACTTCATATTAAAAAAAAAGGTATACAGGAGGATGTCCATAGGCTATATGCAGATAATATGCCATTTTATATAAGGTACTTGAGCATTCTTGGATTTTATTATCTACTCGGGGTTCTGGAAGCAACTTCCCATCTCCCCACCCCAGGATTTAGGGACAGTTGTATTATAAGTCTTTATGCACCTCTGTGAAGTATGTAGGACACATATCATCTGTGTTAGATTAGAGAACTAAAGCTTAAATTTATTTATGGTTTTCTTCATTTGCAGCAGTGTGGCATAAATGCCAATGATGTGAAAAAATTGGAAGAAGCTGGATTCCATACTGTGGAGGCTGTTGCCTATGCACCAAAGAAGGAGCTAATAAATATTAAGGGAATTAGTGAAGCCAAAGCTGATAAAATTCTGGTAAGTACTGCTTATTTGACCAAGGGAGGTATTAGCGGGAATAGTACAAAAGGAAATGTAGTGAAAGACTTCTTCCTTCCATCTCTCATTCTTCTGTTATCTTGTTTTCCTTTCCAGGGGTGACTGTTACCTCTGTTTCTTTTTTTGTTGTGGAGACATGTTCTCGCTCTCTCATCCAGGTTGGATGGAGTGCAGTGGTGCCATCTCAGCTCACTGCAGCCTTCGCCTCCCAAGCTCAAGAGATCCTTTCACCTCAGCCTCCCAAGTACCTGGGACTACAGGCACATGCCATCATGCTGGGCTAGTCTTGAACACCCGAGCTCAGGCGATTCACCTGTCTCAGCCTCCCAAAGTGCTGGGATTACAGGTGTGAGTCACTGCGCCTGGCCTATTTATTTTTGTAGCTTCATGTAGTTCTTTAATATCCATAGTTCCCCATGGTTACATTTTGTTTTATGAACTTATTCCTTCAGTATTTATATAGTTATACAGTTTTGCTACCTTTGCCCTTGACATTTTGTATAATATAAAGCAAATATTTATTTATATAATTGTATTTTTAAATATCAATTACTATTAACGTTAGAGAAATTTATTGGATTACTCAAATGAGTATTTGTTGAAGTGGTTGGTTAATCGGAAATAAGAGTTCTGAGTTCCTAACATAGTAATTTTGTTAAACGATTGTGATATTGATGGCTGCGTGTGGTGGCTCATGTCTGTAATCCTGGTACTTTGGAAGGCCGAGGCGGGTGGATCACAAGGTCAGGAGATCAAGACCAGCCTACTCAAGATGGTGAAACCCCCGTCTCTACTAAAAATACCAAAGAGAAAAAAAAAAAAAAAAGATTGTGATATTGACTAAGCCAGTAGGAGCCCCTAAAGTCTTTCTGTTATCACTTTTTGGGCATCAGTTTTTGTTAATGAACAAATGCTAACAGGATCTTTACTTTTGCCTTGTGAGATCTTGGGTTCAGAAATCAAGTCAGTTCTAGGCTTCTATGAACACAAAATTACAAACCTAGAATATGAGGTTTGAGACGCAAAATGATATAGACATACGTGTCTTCACTTTTAGATATTTTATGTTAGTTTCTGTTCTGTAAAAATTATGATTATATTGTTTGTTTTCCTTTTTTAAAAAATTTATTTTTGGCCGGGCACGGTGGCTCACGCCTGTAATTCTAGCGCTTTGAGAGGCTGAGGTGGGTGGATCATCTGAGGTCAGGAGTTCAAGACCAGCCTGGCCATCATGGTGAAACCCCATCTTAAAAATATATATATATTTTGGCCGGGCGCGGTGGCTCAAGCCTATAATCCCAGCACTTTGGGAGGCCGAGGCGGGTGGATCACGAGGTCAAGAGATCGAGACCATCCTGGTCAACATGGTGAAACCCCGTCTCTACTAAAAATACAAAAAAATTAGCTGGGCATGGTGGCGTGTGCCTGTAATCCCAGCTACTCAGGAGGCTGAGGCAGGAGAATTGCCTGAACCCAGGAGGCGGAGGTTGCGGTGAGCCGAGATCGCGCCATTGCACTCCAGCCTGGGTAACAAGAGCGAGCCTCCGCCCCAAAAAAAAAAAAAATATGAGACAGAGTTTCGCTCTTGTTACCCAGGCTGGAGTGCAATGGCGCGATCTCACCTCACTGCAACCTCCGTCTCCTGGGTTCAGGCGATTCTCCTGCCTCAGCCTCCCGAGTAGCTGGGATTACAGGCACGCACCACCACGCCCGGCTAATTTTTTGTATTTTTAGTAGAGATGGGGTTTCTCCATGTTGGTCAGGCTGGTCTCACTCCTGACCTAGGGTAATCTGCCTGCCTCAGCCTCCCAGAGTGCTGGGATTACAGGAGTGAGCCACCGCACCTGGTTTTTTTTTTTTGGACACAGAGTCTCGCTCTGTCACCTAGGCTGGAGTGCAATGGTGCCATCTCTGCTCAGCTCATTGCAACCTCTGCTTCCCGGGTTCAGGTGGTTGTCCTACCTCAGCCTCCCGAGTAGCTGGGATTACAGGTGCCCACCACCACACCTGGCTAATTTTTGTACTTTTATTAGAGACAGGATTTCACCATGTTCCCCAGACTGGTCTCAAACTCCTGGCCTCAAGCAGTCCACCCGCCTCAGCCTCCCAAAGTGTTGAGATTATGGGTGCCAACCACTGCGCCCACCTTTTAAAAAAAAAAAAGTGAGAGAGACAGAGTCTGACCCTTTGCCCAGGCTGGAGTGCAACGGCATGATCATAGCTGATTGCAGCTTCAAACTGCGAAGCTCAAGGAATTCTCCTCAGCCCCTTGAATAGTTTGGATGACAGGTACATGCCGCTAGCTTGACCATTTCTACCACTTTTGTCTTTGCTGCTACATTCTCCTTCTGTTTTTCGCCAAAAGAAGTAGTCTGTATTCCCTGAGTTCCCATGCCTATTTTGTTAATACATATGTTACCTATCACATCTACTTGTACTTTAGTTATTTTGTATAGCTTATCTTCCTGATTAAATTGTAAGCCCTGTGAAGGTAAGAATCAGTTCATCTTTTTCTCCATATCCTTCGAAGTCCCTAGGACTATGTTTTATGCAGAGTAAGTGTCTAGTATGTGTTTTTTGCACTGAATTGACAGTGAGTATATGAATCGACCAGGCTAGTCTCAAAACCCTGGCCTCAGGTAGTCCGCCCACCTCGGCCTCCCAAAGTACTAGAATTACAGGCATTAGCTACTGCACATGGCCCTGCAATGAATTTTTAAATGAAATATTAAGTATATAGAAAAGTTTAGAGAATAAATTTGCATTGATTTTTCAGCTGTTTGTTGATTTTTTTTTCATGGAAAATTTTAAAATCATAAAAGTTTAATCTTTTTACTTTCTATGAGTCTATTTAGATTTTCTTGAGTGAGTTTTGGTAGTTTAGCTTTCTATGAATTTGCTTATTTCATCTAAGTTATCTAACTTATTGAGATCAAAGGGTTTCCTTGTACTACTTTTTATTTCCATAAGGTCAGTAGTAGTGTCCTCTGTTTCATTCTTGATTTTAGTAATTTGAGTCTTTTCTTTTTTTCTTGGTTAGTGCAGCTGAAAGCTTGTCAATTTTTTTGATATTTTCAAAGAACTAGCTTTTGTGTTCATCGATTTTTTTTGTCTGTTTGTTTGTTTTGGAGACAGAGTCTTGCTCTTTTGCCAGGTGCCAGGCTGGAGTGCAGTGGCGAAATCT